CAGCTTGGATTGCAGATCGTGATCATTGGAGTTCAAGAAAAAGCAAAAGAGTTTGTGGAATTCATCAAAGGTATCATTCTCATCACAGTTTCTATCTAAACACATTGCAGATCCTCGTTTGGGAATTGAAAATTGTTTAATTTCCGCTGTGCATGATAAGTAAATTCCCAACAATCTACACCAATATATATACACCGACGCAATCCGTAACGGTGTGAAATGTTGTACTTAAAAATTAAATTTTTTTTTTTTTCCACTGCAGTTCTTTTAAAAAAATGCAATTCTTTTCTGGTTACACATTTTTGTGCAATTTAGATCAGGAAAAAATAAATAAATTTATTCGAGACGGCATTGATTTGAAGCTCTTTTATTGGAATCTTTAATGAGGTAACGTTGGGAGGTTGTTCTACAGAATTTTTAATAAAAGTTCAACAAGTTTCGATAAATGTTGATTAGATGTATGATTGAAAAATTATTAAAATGATGGATATCACGAAATGTGTGCTTCAAATTAAAGTCGTATCGATTGAAAAATTCGTAATATTTTGAAGAAATTTTATTAAGCACTCGATTGTTTTCTGATTCAGTTCCAAACATCTTGGCCCTGCATTTGGAATTGTCTTTTTTGGACGACTGAGATTGCTTTTTGATGAAGGGGTGGTTGGCGGGCATAAAAAGGCCACTTGTCTTTATTTACCCCATTCCATTTGTGTACACATTCAACTCACGGCTTAATTTCAACTTTGATAGCAATGTGAACATAAGACAATTTCTATGATATTTCGAAGTGGACTTTCCTTTTTTTTTTTTTTTTTAATTTTGGTATCAAACCACTAATTCACTGTCTTTTTATATTTTCGTCATAACAACTAACTTCTATTTTAAAACAGACAATTTTTTTGATTTTGATATCCAATAAATTCCAGACGATGATATTATTCATTGAAAATTTTTCAGTCGGCATTGACCAAATGCGACATTAATTATCGACGCCTCAATGAAATGGCTTGACCTGAAAATCACTTGGGACAAGCGTTGACCTAATTTAATTAGAGACGCTCATAGTCCATTTACTTCCCGGAATCTTATATAGGTTGGCCTATCTGTTGCCTTGGCCCATTTATTTACTTAGGGGGTGTTTGACACCAATTTTTGTGAAAGAATGTGTTTTTAAATAGTGATTGATGGAAGAATGTGTGGTTAAAAAGTAAGGAGAATTTTTAGGTTTATGTGTAATATTATTTTATTGATAGAATGTGTGGTTGAAATGAAGACAGAGAAAAAAATGAGAATGAGAATG